TTTCTCACTAGGCGTGGTCCGGGAAATTGGTGGCTGGATCAGTGCTGCAGCCCGAAGCGAGAGCTGCAGCAGGGCGATTGATCTCACTGGGAAGTTGCAAGGGGAAAAGGAATCCTTTCCTAGACAGGGGAATGAATGACAAACACTGGAAAATCGTGGTAATGCCCCCAATACTGCGCTAAAGCAAAAGCACACCCAGTGTAATCGTGTGGCGGAGTCCCACGCCCACGAGCCTCCCTCATGCTGCACAGCAGTTTGCGATATCTCGCGGCTAGAGGAGCAGCGAGCGGGAGGGTGCGCCCTGCCATTGCTGGCTTAAAGGGGGTAACAATAGCGTCTGGAAAACTCGAAATGGGTGGAAGCTCACAGCAGCTACGGAACTCTGCCTTGTCTCTGTCGACTCCACCTCTGGATTTATTATAATCTTATAATCTTATTTATATGTTGGCGATGGCAGATAGCAGAAAGACTCCGAGGAAGAGATGTGTCTCAAGAGCATGGAGATGGGATGGACTAATTCTCCAGTCTCCCACCTCTCCACCTGATGATTCTCCTACACTGACTGTGGGTTATATTTCCCTGTTTAGTGCTTTGCAGTGAGTGTATGTGGATAATAAGTATTAAATGCCAAACAAATAAATAAATATGTGAAGCACTTCTTTACATGGGATTTTGGGGTACTTGGTACCTCTTTGACAAATTTGGTAGAAAATGTATTTTGCCAAAATAATATAAACCTAACTAAAGAATTGCAGCCTGCCACACTTTGGCTGTGGTTCTTCTTCCTTTCAGTCAAGAGCTTTGCACTTACCATAAAATTCTAGCTCCTTCTCATGGCCTACAGGGCTTTTGCCCAGTCCAGCCCAGATCACCCCTCTTCCCCCAGCCTTGCTCGCTACACTCAGTACATCTGCTTCTTTTTCTCAAGGCTACCAGGTTCTTCCTACCTGTGGCCTCTGTCCAAGCTATCCTTCCTTTTCCTCCTCCACTTTGCATGGCTGGCTCAGCCCAAATGTCACCTCTTCATAAAGGTCATGCAGATATAGCTGCCTTGCCCTAGCCCTCTCCCAATTATTACCATATCCATTGGTTTTATCTCTATCTTACCACTTACCACTATCTGAAAATGTCTTATTTTGGTCTTTGTTTGTTTTTTGTCCATATCTCCCACTATAATGTGTCATTATTACCGGGATCCCCATGTTCACCACAAGGCCTGGCACAGCATAGTCACCCATTAAATAAAAAAGTGAAAGAAAAAGCAAAGGTAGTTTTGGGGAGAGTCAAATTCTGCCTCTATTGGCATCAATATTTCAAACACCCCAATTTCTACTTGACTTTTCCAGTTACGGAGAGAAACAGCCATATATTATCTCACTTTCATCATATTATTTTAATATCCTTCATCTAAGTAACTTGTGAATCAATTTTATATTTTTACCCCCAACTCCTGACCCTTCACTCCACCCCATTTTCCTCCCCATGTCCCCATTCTCCCCCTTCATGTCCCCATTCTCCCAATCTAGACTATTTCTGTGAGTGATAGGGAAGGAATGTACACTTAGCTCACTATCTAGTATAACGCCCTTCCATACCAAGCACCGCACTAAGTACTTCTTTTTTTTTTTTTTTTTTTATAAACCACTTAACATATTTACTCTTGTACACAGACTATTCAAGAAAAACAAAATGGTAAATTTAAGAGTTCAGACATCTTAGACAAGACTTGACTTCTGGGCTTCAGCAAAATGTGGAAACTTTTTTAGAAGAATTTTTGCTTTCTTTCTCTCTAAATTTTCCTTCCGTGCTTTGATGCGGGCTCGTTTCTCACATTCCAGTCTGAGAAAATGGTCCACATAAGGCATGACCAAGAATCGTTTCCTACTGTATCTTTTATTTAGGTGCCAAGGTATAACCCACTGCTTGAACTTGTGCCAGATGATTCTTCCAAAGATGTCTCTTCTCCAAGCACCAGGTCTAGCTCTTTCTTGACCAGTCTGAAGAAGCCTTAGGGCATCTTCTCTTTCCTGGACAACTTTATCTAATGCATCCATGGAATCTACTACCTTATCTAACTGCTCTGGACTTGGCATTGGCAATCTCTGCCGCTTGGCCTCCTGCTCTAGGGTTAAAATCATGTTTCTTTCCTTCAGTAAGACATACGACAGTTTGTGTAAATCTTCATTACTTTTGTTCCTTAGTTGCTGACAGGTCCATGCTGCTCCAGATTTTACTTTTTCTTGCCCCCAGTTTTTTGGGTCATCAAAAAATTCTTCTAGTCCTCTTCTTGACAATGTAGTATGAAATAATCTATATTGGTGAAAGGATGTCACATTTGGTGTACTCTTAGGCAACAAACCAAGAAAAAACCCTGTGCAGGCAGGGACCTGAGGAATTATTAACGACCTGGAAGCTTTCAGGGCAGCTGAGACTCTCCTACAAAGAAAGGCCAAACCTGCCGCAGCCATGTTTTCGCATAACCCGCACTAAGTACTTCTTAAGTATGATCTCTGAATCTGATTTATTATAAACACTTTCTGAATATTGCCAGACCCTACACATTTGCATTATAACTGTTCCACTTACCTATTTCCTTTAAAAAAAAAAAAAAAAAACTCCTTTTTGCCTTCTATCTTTTCACCTCCTATTTATTTCTACCAATTCCTTAAAATAGTTGTATATCCAATAGAATGAATCTAATTTTAAAGGTCCTTTGATATATGCCACAACAATTTTTATGGCATATTTTGATCACTTGGTTCTTCAAATAGTCCATCAATCTTTCATTTTAAGTAAGGAACGCATGCCTTCTATGACACCATCAGTGATGTTTTAAAAGCAGGGATTTAGTTCAGAGAAAAAGAAATGTTAATGCTCTCAGTTCACATTATACACCAGCCATTGTGCTGAGAGCAGCACATTAGTTATCTAATGATTACAATAACCTTGTGATATAGGTGTCGTTTTCCCCATTTTATTGTGAGGTAACTGAATCCTGCTTCACAATGTGGCCAAAACCATGCAGCTAGAAAGAAGATGTACTGGATTAGAAGCAGAGGCTGAGTGAATATAATGTTAGAGGTTAGACACAGATGTCTGGTGTTTACAATGAAACATTTGAAAGAATTAAAATGCTTCATTATCTTATTGATAACTATTGAGGTCTGCTAGAGGAAGGTGTGTTCCTGCAGATAACTTAATAATACTACTCTGTGCTGGGCCCAGTGCTAGGTGTTATTATTCAGAGATAAATAGAAACTAATACTTTAAGGAGGGGAACATAGAAAAACAAAACACACAAGACACAAAGTGACAAAAGCAAGAACACAAAAAGCTGATTGCTTGAAAGGCAGCACTGAAGATGGAATGATTGGCATTGGGTAGAATATTAGGAAAAGCTTTCTGGACTAGGGGCCATCTGAATGGATTCTCAAAAAATGATAACTAGAATTTATTGAGAACTTACTATGAGCAGTGAATTGCATTAAGTGTTTTACATACAGCTTCTCATTTAATCCTCACCTCTATTCTAAAATGGGTAGTTTTCATTCCTTCACTGAGTAAAAAACTGAGACAGACAGGTTGACTAGGTTGCTGGTGCTCAGACAGCCACTGTATCAAACATAGTCCAACAAGATCACAACAATTATTTTGTTTTTTCATATGTAAAATTTAGCCAGATATTGAAGAAATTGAAAGCAAAAAGAGAATAAAAAATAACAGCAAGTAGAATTGCATCAAGCAGTTAACCCTCCTAATGCTTAGGGAATTAATAGAACCCAGAAGCTTGGAGGAGTAAACCCCAAGCTAAAACACTGTCCTCTGAGGAGGAGACACTGATTAATTAATGCTGATATCTTAGCCAGGGAGAGCCACAATGGAGCTGGGATCTAGACCTCCAAGGAAACAGTACAGTAACCTGGTGCTTTTCTCTGAGGGGATGTGATGAGGCTGGTTCTTTGAGTTTGGGGTCAACTACAAACTGGAAATACTGCAGGAAAAGAGAATGAAGTACTGCTGCCATGGTGAAGAAGTATTACTGGGTTGACACTGTTTGAGACAGGATCAAGCAGGAAACAAAACAAGAAGAAAGTCCACTTTTCCTCCCTCTAGGTTTCTGATACCCCTCTAGGGCCTCCTAACAAGGAGCAGCCAGCAAAGGAGAAATGTAGTTAACACAGTCCCTGCCCCCAGCATCATGAAGCCAAGAATACCTGAGAGAGTTGAGGGCTGAGAGACAATAGCTTAAAAACTGGCACAACCATGCAATCTTGCTTTCATTATGGCCTTTTCACTCTCCACTCTCCTAGATGACAATTTCACTCTTGCTCCTCTTGTTTTACATCACTAATACTTCCTCTTTCATTGTCACACTCAGTTAATAACCTTGCTTCCTACTTCACTTAGAAGAATGAAGTGATCAGAAGAAAATGCCAGATTGCCTCCATCGTACCTAGCCATCTACCAGCAGAATTCTGTTATTGTAAAAGTTCTGTGTTGTACATAAATACCCCCACCTAGAACCAGGTACATGACCTGTGCACTAGATTCCATCATTTCTTGCTTCCTCATGTACACCACTCCAGCAATTCTCTCCTCTCTCTCTGAGTTGGTGGCAGTTAATACCCATCAGAAACCCATGTGTTTCTCTGTATTTCCCAGCTTCCCTTCAGTTAGGTTAGGGCTATGTGATTAATTTTGGCCAATGGCCTCCAAGCAGAAGTGAAAAGCATCCATTTTAAAAGGCACTGTAACAAATTTAAGATGTGGTTTCCCTTCTTCTCTCTCTTCCCTTGCTATCTCAGAGGCTAAATAATGTTCCAGATGGTGCAATTACAAGATGGAAGGGCCTTCATTATTATGAACACCTGTGTAATTGTGTGGCCCTCACAAGATAATGACTTTTGTAACTGCAGCCCAGACTTCTCTCCTGGATTAAAATACTATTTTTGTAACTCTAGCCCACATTCATATAAACAACTGCCTATTTGATATCTTTATGTGCTTGTTTAATAACTCAATTTGCCTAATACCAAATTCCTAATCCTGCCCCATCTTATAGGCATCCTCCCCTCTAATCTTTCTTGGCTCTACTTCTGAGATCTATTCCAGCACTAACAGTCCAAGCCTAACACCAACATTCACATCATTGCCCAATATTTACCACTGGACAATGCAGAAACTGTCACCTCAGTAATGAGAGAAGGAAAGTAAAGTGAAATACCAAGTTCTGGAATAAACAGGAAAATTTCATCAGGAAATATAAATTACTCCATGATTTGATTACCCTGAAAAGTATCTTTACGAAATATGTTTTTCAAGGGAGAAGCAATGCAGGTGTGTTGATTTCCTAAAGTTGATGCCTACCATATCAGTATTGAGTTTTTTCAGGACCGTTAGGGTTTAGCAATTCAGTAATATTTTAATCCCAAATATTAATGAAACTCTTCTGGACAAATACAAACTTACCTAAAGCAATATTCTACTTCCTGCTGCTGTTTTGACTTGCAGTTGATTGATGAATACATTAATTGAATTAACGAATTAAAAGTCTCAGGGTATAGGATTTGAGGGTTTTTTTTTTTTTTCCAAAATCTATATATTGTAATATCTCTACTATTGTGCAAATGTTTATTCTCGGGCAAAAAGAATTCTTTTGTTGAAGGATAAGTGGTAAATTCTACAGTGTTTAAAAGCTACCAAGATGAAGGGGGAAGAGGAGGCGGAGGAGCAGAAAGAGGAAAAGGAGGAGGATAAGAAAAAGAATAAAAATAATTGTGTATTCTCATCAGCTATGTTTGATCACAGTGCTTCCCTCAGAACTTTCTTATTAGAACATGAAAAATTATCTAATCTAAGATCCTGAAAGACCATCTCCACAGCTTTATCTTTATAAAGGATTGGAGGTTGAATGCAAAGGGAATCTGCTTCTTGTTTATGAATTCAGAACTTATTGAGCCAGGGAAATCTACTCTCCTTTCCCCATCCAAGTTGATACAAGGTGCTGAACTTTATGAGTAGGTGGAAACCAGAAAAAAAGGCTTCGTCTTTCTGGGGCATTAATTATTCATAGAAAGTACTGCCGTAAAGAAATGCCAACACAGGGTATTCTTATTTCCCTGACCGTGGACTTTTGCCATGTCAGAGGCAATTTTGGAGTGGAGAATAAGGCAATGACAGAAATTCTTGTTCATCAATCTCACGTATATGCCCAATAAAATCCCCTATTCATCTCTATAAAAATGGAGGAGGAGTTAGAAACAAACCAGGGCACTGGTTCATTAAATCTCTACTGATTCCCGTTTGAAGAACGCAATTTAACTTCAAAGGAAACCCTAAATTCGCATCTGATCCTAATTCCATTGTACAGGTTAACTCACCATGGTTTACAATATCTTCAGTACAGCTGGTGCCCTTTCTTCTTCTGCAATATCCCAAAATACTCCTAAACTCAACAGATTCAGGGAAATAGTGTTTGATAGTACTGTTGGACTGTGTATAACAACCATAGGGTTTTAATGGCTGTAAATAGGATAATTATGTTTTTGACAAATGGGTATCCCTTTGAAGAAAGGAAATATAGGGCAATTATAATGATACATTGTCTCCAGGACTTGACTGACACTCCTGAAAGGGGTGCAATTCAGCTTAACATCTCTCATCACTTCCTGGCTTTATGGTTGAAGAAGCACAAGTTTGTTTTTCACAACTGTCAAGGGCTCCTGCCACATCTGACCACCATCTTCTTCCCCCATTGGGGTTTTATGACCATAATTTCAAAAGCACCCCTGATTCTAACACATTATCTTCCATCTCTCTAGACAAATATGTTCCCCAAATGAGTTATTTCTTCCAATAAACGACTGAGAGTGAAAGAATGTATTCTCATTACAGTCCTCATTGGTGTCATGAAAAACATGTCCTGCCATGATTTTGGTGATAAAAAGATGACTTAACCCAAACTCTCTCTTTCTTGATTTTATTTTAAACAACACACACTAACATTTTAAAATAGAATTTAAACAGGTGCCCAGTAACAGAATGACAAACGTTAAGTGTGAAATCAGAAAGTTAAAAAACTAAACCGCAGATGGTCACCTTTTTATTTTTTTTAACATCCGCCTGCGCTGGACTGTTAAGTGGCCTCATCACTGTCAAGCCAGGCAGGATTTGTAAAACTTGGGATGTGGGTATTCAAAGATGACATTTGCTTGGTGCCTTTAATGATTTCTGTAATTAGTCATTTAAACAGATTGCCCTGTGATCCAAAACAGGGAATACAGAGAGATGAGCTGAGAAAATCGTTTCCTGGAGGCACTTTAGAGCTAATTGTGGAAAATGAGGCTTGTCTCTTTGCAAGACTCTCTGGATCATATTTCACTGGGGGGGGATGGAGCTGGAGAGCAACATTCTCCAGGAATCTATAAAACGTATATGCCTGGGGGGTGTTTTTCTTTTTAACACTACAGTGCTAAAAGACTTTGTCAGGTCACAAAATTTAACAGATATTAAGTGATCCAAATTTGCCCCTGGCAATTTAGAAACCAGAGAAGGAAATGCACCTGGTCAGAGAAAGTTGAGGCTACATGACAGAGAAAAGCCAAGGACATGATATTTCACAGGAATAGTGTAAGACTTGGGAGACCTATGACTTTGTCTTCATCGCACTGGACAGTTGTACTTTTTGTTAATAAATGTCCTTGGAGTGACAATTCTGCTTTTCAAAGATAAAAGTTGAAGCTTTCAGAGAGAGTCAGAAAGGGATTCGACTATTTTAATGAATTCATCACTCTCACTAGGTAACAGCCTCTCAGTAAATGCCTTCATCCCAGCAAGCCTCCATTGCTTCCTCAGAGAAACAGCTGTTTAATTCTCACCAATAATTTTGCCGCTGTCTTGTGGGAACTGTGTTGATAACTCAAAATTTCTCAAAAGTTTAGATGATTTAAAATTCTGTGCCCATTCATGTTTGTACATAATAAAAAATAACAGTTAACATGTACTGAATGCTAACTACGTGCTATGCACAGCTCCAACCTTTTAAAGTGTCCTAATTTATTAAACTCTCACACATTTGAACAGGGAGGTTTTACTGATCAGGAAATAGAGGATCAGGGCATGTAAGTAACTAGCTTGAAGTCACAGAGCTAATAAAGGAAAGAGCTAAGATTCAAACTCAGGCAATCTAGCTTGAGAACTGATGCTTAATGTGTAAACATCCTTTCTTTCATGTCCTTCAACATTCCCATTTCCCATCTGTAACCAAACATATGGAAGGCATACATTTCTTTTATGGGTCCTAACATCACCATAGAGCCCTAGATAAATCTTAAGTCGGTGCTGGATGACGGTGAAGCATATTAAAAATGGAGGGTGGTGGTAAAGTTGACCTGATTTCACCACTCAGAAGAATAGAGTGTTGCTTTGAAAGACATAAAGGAATGTAGATGACCGGTTGATGAGTGCAGCAAACCACCATGGCATGTGTATACCTATGTAACAAACCTACATGTTCTGCACATATACCCCAGAACTTGAAGTATAATAATACTAAGAAGAGACATAGAAGATCATTAACGTCTTGATAGCTGGAGAGGATACAACACCATGAAGTAAAGAATTCAACTACATTATTCCACTTACTTCTGGTGGCCTGGAGTTCTAACCACACTAGGGAAATGGTAATGGGAGTCAGAACTTCAGAATTGATGGATGGTGCATAAAGCCCCTGAGTAGCATCTGTTTTTTCATCTCAAAATCCTTAAAATCTCTGTTGTAGATTGCCTTGCATTTTGCCACATAAACATCTACTGTTCAGAGTTTTCAGTCTAGCTCACTAAAAAAGCAGAATTTCAGGCAAACAGCAGAAACACCCTGCACCCATGGGACAATTCCTTTGGTTGACACACAAATCTCCCTCCCTAATGATTACCTGACATTCAGTGAATTTCTGACATAAAATCAAATCTAAACATGGGTTTCAAAAGGAAGCAGAAGCAAAGAATTATACTAAAACTTGTGTGTTTGCCAAGTCACCTAGTCTTTAGGGTGTCCTATGCAAAATATGGAAAAGCAAAACCATTCAGTGGTCCTTGAGACAGGAAAAATGATTTGGCATAAACCATTCTTTCCATTTTGAGAATCGGATGTGGCAGGAGACATTGGGAACCTGAGGGGCTCTAATCCTGGTTGCCTAAACATGCTCATTGAGGTGAGGGATGAGTATATTCATTTCAACTGAGCAGGGAAAGCTCAGCAGAATGCTAAGTAGCTATTTCAGTGGTGCTGATTGATTTGCAGAGATGGCACAGATGTGACCTTCTCAGTCAAAGTCAATGTTTTCTTGGCCCTCAATTTCAGAAAAAAAATACAAATATAAATGATAAATAATGACAAGGCCCAGATATAGTCTCAGAGTCATTGCCTCAACAATTATTAATGCCTGCTAGGTTTCTAGTACCCTGCTAGAGTCTGACAACAGCATAAAAATCATCTAAGACCTATCTCCTGTTCTCTACAATATTCATGACCATAAAGTTGCAAAAAGTATGTAGTTTTAAAAATCACAGCGTGGAGAGTTTTCTTTGCATCACGTATTTTGCTTTTTCAACTAAAAGCTAACAGACAAACCTAAGTGTGCCTTGCGCCTAGTCTTCCTTTTGTCTAGAATGCCTTCTCTTCTTCATCTGCCTGGAGAACCTCCATATGTAATTCAAAGTCCAACAGGGTTGTCACCTCAGTGACATGAAACTTCACTGGCCATGCCCATCCAGCAATATCTATCGCTTTCCTTTTATACCCCACTACATCATTGCAATTCAAGATATTACTGTAGCTGCCTGTGTATGTGTCTAGCTGTCCCACTCAATGCCTCCTGTGGTTGACAATCTTCTAGACTATGGCTCATCTTTAGAAGCATCTCTGGGTAACTTTTAAAAATGTAGAAGTCCAGGTTCCAAACCAAACCCATTGACATAAGATTTCCAGAATGTTGGCCTGCATATCTTTAGTTTACTCTCCACAGATAGTGTTGAGTTGCTACCAGGACATAGAAGCACTTGCTGCATCTGATTCCTCTTTATAGTTCCAATGCTAAGCCCAATGTCTAGTACAAAGCAGTGCTCAGATCATGCTCGTGGACTGAATGAATCAGTTGCATCTGCTTTATTCCTTCTTGCAGGTAAATATCTAAATTATCTGTAGCAACAACTTGGTGGGGTCAACTCCAATGTTTTTGTCGGCTGTTCTTGAAGACTGCTGGGTCTCTACAATCACATTCTTTGGCTGGTGCCAGTGTTTAAGCACTCTGGTAGGTGAAAATATTTTCTTTTGAACACTGATTACATAAAGTTTTGAAATAAACAAGTTAGAATTTAGAAATAAGAGGGATTTATTGCCAAAATGTGACAAGTAAATAAAAATTAGTTGTAAGTGCCTCTCTGTATATTCATATATATTTCCAATTCAGAGTAGAAAAAAAAAATCACATTACAGCTTAGTGAGAGAACGAAGTTCTAATGGGGTGTTAGCATACAGAATCATTTTATTCCTGACTTGGCTCTCCTTATTTTTTGTTTCTCATGTTTTGGGAAAATTTTGTGACTATTTTTCCCTTCCACTGATTTCTAGTAAGACTTTCCTGAGTTCAAATTTACCTATGTGTCCTCAAGATGCATTATTGGAAGGGAGATGAATTTTGTACTGCCGATAGTTACAAACAGCTGTTATTTCGGCTCCACTCAGGAATAATCTATATACACATTCCTGTAATTGAACACAGCTACTGATCAGTATATAATCCAACTGATTGATGGATCTCAGTGCCTCTTCCTTCATGGTGAATGGAGCCAACTAAATAGATAAAATGTGCATTGCACCATGACATGAATTGCTTCCTTTGGTTCCTTATTTTCTATGATGCAGAAACTGCATAGCAGCATGTTTGAAGGCCGCCTGTCAAATTTGGGAAGCTGACATGTGACTGAGCTAGTCACGGGGTTCTTCACACAAAAGGCAGTCTGGATCCTGGTCGACTGGAGATTCCATCTGAATGGTGAGTGAGTACACCGTAAAGCTTTTGCTGAGGGCTCTAGCAATTTCTCTCCGAACCACTTGGCTGTCCCGGCTGGCTGCTGTTGATAAAGAACCACAGGGAGATTAGCGCTGATTGCACACGCATGGGTGACTGCTGTGACTCCAACTTCAAGTACTTTGTCTTTGACCTCCTGGGGCAGGGCAGAGGCAGGGCACTCAGAGGAAGCCATGTTTGCTCTGATAATCAGCTACACTCACACAGACAAGGCAGGGGAAACTCTGGTGCAGGAAAGTGCCCTGTCGCTATGGGAACTCTTTCTGTCTGCTATTATCTCTGGAGTCTGGCATTCCTAGGAGCTTAGTATGGAAGGGGAGACAAGCCCTGGAAAAAGCCAAGACAGAACTATTATTTCTTATACAGCCCTGCTCACCAGCTCCCAGGGATCTCTGGGTTGCAGGCCTTGTATGTAATCAGAATTTATATCAAGGATAGTGACAGGAACCAAGAAGCGTTTAGAGCTCCCCACAGACCTTTCTTAGAGCAGCAACCCTCACTGCCATATTGTTTTCCTGTCCCAAATGCTATCAGCAGGCTGTAAAGTCCCCTCCATAGCAACCTGAGTGTTTACTAGATTCTTCCATTTGCACTGAAATATTGGCATAGTGAATGCTGTAAATTCCCTGAAGTCAGACCTGAGCCCCTTGGAGAAGATGAGGATGTCTGAGAAAGCACAGTTTTCAAATGACTGTCACTAGTGTTCCTGTCCCCTGCCCCTAAGTAACTTCTTGAGTCATTTTTTAGCAGCCTAATGTATTATCTTTGGCCTGAGCTTTCTCCTGAGGCAATAAATGCTCTCTCACTACCTAGTCTCCCAGCTCTAGGACATATCAGAGACAAAAATTAACTTCTTGAAAAGGTAATTTTTGGTATAAACCTAATATTATAAGAATTTTCTCACATGGCTGCAGAATTTCTAACCACACAGTGTGGGACCCGCCATAATTCCTATTAGCACATCCATTTGCTTGTTAGAAATTGAAGAGCGGGGCCTGTGTCTCTTTCATCTTCCTATTTTCAGTTCTAGGAAAAACATCATATATAGAGGAGATACTCAATTAAGATTAAGTTTTTATTTCACTCCTATTATTTGACTGATAGGACACCAAGCCAAACAGATGAAGTTGAATTTTCAGAGTCCAAGGCCTTGAAGTTGGGGTTGCATTTTAGCCCTTTGTTCTGTCTGTCCTCGGCCCTCTGCAGTCAGCCCCAACGATGTCATGGGTATCATTGTTGCTATGACAACATCAATAAGTGGGCTGGTTTCAAAGGCCCTTGGTAATAGAAAATACTTTATAATGTTTTGACAAGCAACAGACAATAAGGGCAGCTCTACAAAAAGGAGGGAAATTACTGACTTTACAGGACAAGGACTGAATTTTTTTCCAGGGTGTTTACAAAACTCACTGACCTGTAGCAACATGAGCTGAGAGAATTACTTGATTCATTGTTAGAGACCAGATGTGCAGGCTGTGCACAGACACCACCCCGTCGACTGCTAAAATAAGCTCTTTCACACCATTGTAATTCAGGCTCTTTGGCACACCTGACAAAAGGTAAGAGATGGAGGCTGTAGTTATTCAACTAAATACAGCTCATTGAATTACCTAAACAAGCTGCAAAGTCCTCACCCAAAGTTCAAGGTGCTTATCCCTTTGCTGGTTTCTTACTTCAAATGTTTACAAAGAAGATTTACCTGACTACTTGAAGGTTTACCATCAACCAAAAGTTCCCACTCAGAATACTTGCAGAATTTACTATGCAATAACCAACAACAGTAATTATCCTTAGTTTTTACGGTATACTATTAAACTAACTGTGCCTTTTCCAACTATCTTTATATACACTCTGGAAAGTAAAATGAATAACATGAAATTTGGTATCAAATAATCATGGGTTAGCATGCTGATGACAACTATTGTGAATTTACCCAAATCCCAGAACTTCTCTGATCCTCAGCACATTTGTAGTAAAATAAGGGTGATAAGAACAACACATAGATCACAGAACTCTTTGAGGAGCAATTCAGAAAATATCTAAACATTATGAACGGCAATGTTGTACAAAGATTAGTTACCCAACAGGTCATTTAGTGAACTGTGCTAATAGAAGATCCTAACATTGTATAATACCGTCTTATTCCTTTTGTAAGTTTTCCATTATTTTAGCTACGCTGGAGGATGCTGTATAAGAGATGTCTAAGTACAGCCCTTTTTTAGCCTCTACTTCAGTTATGTACAAACAACACAAACACCTGGGGTGTTTATTAAAAACAAATGTACCACGACTCCATTCCAGACCTAAAAGGAAATTTCTATGGATGAAACTCCAAAATCTAGAGTCTTTCAGAGTGGTTTTCAACCTTGGATGCACATTAGTATTACCAGAGGAGATTTTAGAAATCCTGATGACGAAGTTATAATCTAAGACCAATTAAATCAGAATCTCTGTGGATAAGGCCCAACATCAATGCTCATTTGGTGATTCTATCAGGCAGCCGAGATTGAACCACTGCACTAACATGCATGAGCCACTGAGCAGCTCTGCTTTGCAGTGGTTCTCTAGCCTGACTACATGTTTTTAAAAATACCAAAGCCAGCCCCAACCCCAGACAATTAAATCAGAATCTCTGGGTGACATAGTTTGCATATTTGTCCTTGCCAGTGTCTCATGTTAAATTGTAATCCCCAATGCTGGAGATGGGGCCTGGTGGGAGGTGTTTGCGTCATGGTGCCAGATCCTTCATGGCTTGGTGCTGTCTTTGCCATGATGAGTGAGTTCTTGCAAGATTTGGTCATTTAAAAGTGTGTGGCACCTCCCTGCCCTTGCTCCATTCTCATCATGTGACGTGCCTGCTCCCCCTTTGCCTTTTGCCACTATTGGAAGCTTCTTGAGGCCTCCCCAGAAGCAAATGCCACCATGCTTCCTGTATAGCCTACAGAACCATGAGCCAATTAAACTTATTTTCTTTATAAATTATCCAGTCTCAGGTATTTCTTTATAGCAATGTGAGAACAGCCTAATACACTGGGTATGGGAAGCCTGAGAATAAGTATTTTTTAAAAGCTTCCCAGAGGATGATAATGAGCAGCTAGAGCTGAGAACCATCTACTTAAAGAAATGGGGAACCCTTAGCCCTCCTTTTGAAAAATTTAACCCATTTATGCCTGAAGTTGCAATTTTTTGAATTTTTGTAATCAGACCTTGGCAATGACCTTGAGTAGTAGGATATAAATAACTCCCACATGCTTAGCATTCCAATAATGGAACACTAGGCATAAATAGGCTAAGAACCTTGTTCATGGGGGATTTCTTCCTTGAAGTTAACTCAAAATTCTCTACAGCATAAGCTGAGTTTTTGATCCTACCTAATATTGTTTGTAGAAGTAACAAAGAGCTGGTCATTATGCTGTTTTACTCTATGAGTGGCAAGAGACCTAGGCTCCTAGAAGCAGATGAAAGGAGTTCTTGTCTCAAATTAGCCATGCAATGTGAATAAAGTCATGGGTAAAACTGTTTTAATAATAATAACAAACTTTTATTGAGGGCCCACTATATGTAAAGTTTGTGCAAAGTACTTCATTTATAGCAATTATCTCATTTAATAGTCCTAAAAACTTTAGAAGCTAGTTATTAAGGTTACAATTCTTATTTAACTAGAGGAGAGGAAATTGGGGTCAGTTAGATTAAGGAACATTGCTAAGGCCACAAAGAGAAGTGGCAGAATCAGGGATATCAGATCCCAACATCTGTGCTCTGAGTACAAAGTGTTATGCAAATACTAGAGTCTAGGAATTACAATCGAAACATTATCTGTTACGCCTAATGTGTGTCATCTCTTTGGGGAATTACCATTTGAAGACCTGCTATCATTCATCTAGGCCCTTTGAAATTAAGTCATGATCCCACTACCCTTTTTTCACTTGTCTCCTTCATCTCATTACTATTATAGAGAACACAGGTCCACCATGACTTATTTTATTATAAGAAATAGTGTTGCCAGGCAAGAGGCATGGCCCCTCTGGCCTTGATGCTCCATCACATCCTAGAACTTTCTTTTGCCTGGGGGGGAGTCTGAAAAAAATATTAATGCATCCAGAAAAATATCTAAATTAGTGTTTAATAAATAACTTCCCAGACTTACAAATGTATTTTAAAAACCACTGAACACCATTCATAGTTAAATAATTGCATTTGAAATCAATAAGATACAATATTTCACCTATCAGAGTAGAAAAGAATGAACAGTTTGATAATACTCAGTGGTTGTGATGATGTGAGGAAAGGAGCATTTTCATATGCTGTTGGGGGGAAGGAAATTGATACTATATCTTTGGTAGAAATGGTAATATCTATCAAATTTTGAAATGCACGTGATATAGTTTGGCTGTGTCCCCACCCAAATCTCACCCAAATCTCACCTTTAATTGTAATAATCCCCAGATGTCAAGGGTGGGGCCAGGTGAAGATAATTGAATCATGAGGGCAGTTCCCCCATACCGTTCTCGTGGTAGTGAATAAGTCTCGTAGATCTAATGGTTTTACAAATGGGAGTTCTCCTGCAAAAGCTTTCTTGCCTGCTGCCATGTAAGGTGTGACTGTGCTCCTCCTTTGCCTTCTGCCATGATTGTGAAGCCTCCCCAGCCATGTGAAACTGCGAGTCCATTAAACCTCTTATTCTTTATAATTACCCAGTCTCAGGTATGTCTTTATGAGCACTGCAAAAACAAACTAATACAGCATGTAAGTTTTGAAACAGCAATATCACTTCTAGGAATTATTCCACAGATATTCAAGTGCTAAAAATATATATATCCAAGGGTGATAATTACATCATTGTTTATAATGTCCATCACAAGCAGGTCCTTCCATGCTGTGGAGTAATTACAGCTGTGAAGAACGGGGTATATCTATGTATGTGCTAATATAAAAGATCTCCAAGTGAAAAATGTCAGGTGCAGAGAAAAATGTGAATCAATATGTAATCCCATTTTTATTTAAAAAAAGGCACACACATACATCACATACACATATACATATACGTGTGTGTGTGTGTGTGTATATATATATATGCAAATGCACAAATATCTTTGGAAAGATAAATGTCAACTTATTAATAGGTATTATCCCTGAAGAATAGGACTGAGAATGCAAAGATGGAAATATAAGGAGACTTTTTTAAATTATTGCATACTTTTCTGTATTATTTTTAAATTTTACTAAGTACCATACTAACATAATTTGAAGACCTAATTTAAAAAGTAAGTGTCTTCCAGAAAGGAGTTATCTGCTAGTTTCTATAATTAACTGATGCAGACCAGTCTCTGCACCTTTCCTGAAGTAAAATAAGAAAGATAATCACCAAGGAAGAGCTATAGTGAGACACACAAAAAAAGTGGAATATAACTCATTTCAAATTGTACACCAACTTGTCTTTTATCTTTAAGTCAATAACTTCCATAATAGCAACAACAGCTGCAGCTCAGCACTTGGTGCTCAGGAAAGAAAATGGATGCTTCTGTGGCTTGACAACCCAAATATTAGAGCCAGAAAATTCACTGTTACTATGTGACATTTGACTCCTTTATCCATTTCACTGTTGTCAACACTATCATCTTTCAAAAATTGTAGTGACCACCAAGAACAAACCTTTAAATGTATACTTAGCAGTGAACGCTAATGAAATGTGAGCTGTCACTAAAGGCAATTGCACTCTGAGACCAGATCTACCTTATGTCAAAATGTGCTGGACAAAAAAAAAAAAAATCAGCTAATGTCTGGATATTTCAATCATTCGGATATTTGATATGATGCAAACTTATAGCTCTGGCTGAATTTTACAGGTGCCATTCCCATGGCCAGCATGTGAGAATCCCTTCAGTGGTACGAAAAGATTAGTCCAGTGGTTCCTGAATTGTTGTCCTGGGACCAGCAGCAACAGCATCTTGTTAGAAATTCAAATTCTTGCCCCTCCTACTCCCCAATAAGATATACTGACTCAAGAATTGTAGGAGTGGGTTCAGATATCTGTGTTTTAATAAACCATCCAGGTGATTCTGATGCCACTAAAGTTTGAGAACTGCTGGGTTAGTCTAATAAGGGTTTTGGACAAATATGTATGTCCAAATACCTATTTTATAATACCTATTTTCCTGGAATGTGGGATAGAAAATGGTATCATTTGTTAATACAAATGGTCAATGTAGCAGTGATAAATCACCTTCACCTTCTAAATATAATTGAGTACCTTGGGTCTCCAATAAACCTTATTTTTAAATTTTAAACAGTTTTAAATTGACAATAATTGTACATATGTAAGGGACACACAGTGCTATTGCCATACAGATAATGCATAGTGATCAGATGAGGGTAATTAGCAAATTCATCATGTCATACATTTATTATTTCAGCCTGTTGGGAACATTCAATATCTTCCTTCTAGCTATTTGAAACTATATATTATTGTTAATTGTATTCTTGTCATTCTATAGTGCTATAGAACATTAGAGCTTATTCCTCCTATCTCATTGTAATTTTGCATCCTTTAACAACTCTCTCCCTATCCTACTCTTCCCCTTCCCTGCCTCTGTTATCTGTTCTACTTTTTACTTCTATGAGAACATTTTTTTTTAGCTTCCACATATGAGCCAAAACATGTGATGTTTAACTTTCATTTCCTGGCTTATTTTACTTAGCATAATGTCCCCCAGTTCCATCCATGTTTCTACAAATAACAGGATTTCATTGTTTTTCATCACTAAATAGTATTCCATTGTGTATATACACTGCATTTTCTTGATCCATTCATCTATTGTTGGACACCTAGGTTGTACTCCCACACCTTCCCTTTGATGCTCCAGTCAAATCTCCTCTAGTTATTTGTTGCCTTGGCCCTTTCTTATTGGGGGGACTAGCCCCAGCATCTCTAGTCAGCCATCTTGCTGATGTCACTCTCTGACATACTTTAATATTCTAAGATAATGTCAACGGGAGTCAGTAGTTCTCCCATTCCAAGTACCACTGAATAGTTCTTCTGGTGATGAAGATGGATTTATTCTGATCAAGACTCTCTTATCTGGCCTTTCTGAGGCCATCAGCATCTATGGCTGACTAGTGCTATCACCACAGTCTATAACCAAGAATTGGGAATTTCTTCCTGTGCAGGTAAATATACAGTACAGTGTTTATTTCCACAATGTAGTTTCATATTTCCTATATTCCAGTCAACACAAAAATGCTAGCTGATAGTTTATATTTACCAAGCTTCCACTGTGTTCTAGTGTAATGCCATTTATTTCATCTAATCGTCTCAGCAACACTGTATTGTGGATGTGATATTCCCATTTTTGAGTTGCAAAACTGAAGTTCAGAGGAGGTTACCTGATGTCTCACAGCTAGAAACTTGCATGACTAGCATTTGAACGAAGGTGGGTCTGATACAAAGACCTTGCTTTTTCAACTATATGATATCTCTCTGAGCTAACTCTGCCAGTAAAGATGTAGCCTAGAAAGGGCAGAAACCAGTAGTTCTTCAACCATTTTATGCCAAATGAAAAGAAAATCACCAAATTGCAGAATGGGGGAAAGGAGGCAGGCAGTAAGCTTTCGGCATAAGGATGGATTTCTTTGCAGTGAGGGTTATTTATGTGATCTGTTCCTGGATAGTTGGAAGACTCAAAGAGCCAGACAGAAATTTCACAGGCCCGGGAGAGTAGTCAAGGATAATGATAATGGGGCCGTAGGTGATGAGGTTAATAACATAAGATCCTACTCGGGCCTAACAGCAGGCCTCAGCAAAGCCTCTGGGACCACTGGTCCCTGCTCCCAGCCATGTTAAGATCTCTAATAAAAGACCCACACCTCTTCTTTGTAGCAGTTCCCACTATTGCATTTCAGTGTAATTTTCTGAATAATCTCTTTCTCCCCTTATTAAAGTATTATCCCCATGAGGACAAAGCTTTTATTTTTTTTTTAATTTTATTTTGTTGAGGTAGGGTCTTACTCTGTCACCCAGGCTGGAGTACAGTGGCACCATCTCGGCTCACTGCAGCCTCTGCCTCCCAACCTCAAGTGATCCTCCCACCTCAGGCTCCTGAGTAGCTGGGACTACAGGCTTGCACCACAATGCCCAGGTAATTTTTTGTATTTTTTGTAGAGATGAGGTTTTCCCGTATTGCCCAGGTTGGTCTCAAACTCCCGGATTCAAGCAATCCTCCCACCTCAGCCTCCCAAACTATAATTCCTGGAATTATAGGCATGAGTCACTGTGCCCAGCCCATATTTCATTTTACTATACTTTATTTTGAGAGATGGGGTCTCACTATGTTGCCCAGGCTGTAGGGCAGTGGCTATTCACAGGCACAATCCCACTACTGATCGGCACAAGAGCTTTGACCCACTCTGTTTCTGATCTGTGCCAGTTCACCCTTCCTTAGGCAACCTAGTGGTACCCTGTTCCCAGGAGGCCATATTGATGTTGAACTTAGTGCAGACACCTGAACCTCATAGCACACTACAGCCCAGAACTTCATAAGAGAGCTGTGTTCTGCTCTGCTCCTCTCTGTAACTCCAGTTCTGAGCACATTACCTCGCACAGAGCTGGGGCTCAATAAACACTTGCCAAACAAATAAAGGGTCACCCTTGTTTTCTTCTACTCAGAGATACAATTTGAAAAAAAAATGTTTAGCTCTAATGCAGCCTAGGAGGTAAATTTATGTAGTTTTTTCTTAGGTCTTTTCCAGGTATATTTAGGGAATAATTTATATTTTTGCAGTATCTCCTCATGATGTTTATACTTATTGTTTTTACACTGTGAAATATTACATAACAGTTGCTAGAGCAGGAATAGAAGCCAGTTCTTTTTACTTGTTCCCATATGAAAAAAATCAAACGATCGTTTTCACAAAAATTCCTTATCACTTTAAATTTTTTCCATAATTCAAATTAACAGTGAGCATGCCTTACAGTCATGCCCTTTTGTGATTCTAGGGAAGAGAAAACACTGACCCTGGGAGTAACAATAAAATCACTCCTACCTTCCATGAGTAAGATGGAGAAGTCCTTTAAGATAGTGATGGTGCTGGCCAAAACCAGGATGGAAAAGATGAATGTGCAGATTGGGTCAGCTAGTTTATACTCTGGCTAGAAAAAAACAAGGATTTTGGTTAACTGAATTCATACCTCTCTTCCAGAAAGTCTGATTAATAAAATAAGTAAACCTCCCTGTATCTTTCCTTCTCTGTCACTCATTCACCCTTTTGACATGTGTCATCCAACTCAGAGGCAAGACTTTATTTTTGAAGACTCAATCCTTCCTTTTAGCTTTAAACTACCAGCAAATAAAGAAGTGAGGCTACAAGACATGCTCTCCCCGTAATTTAAGAACTAAAAGGAAGAATATTCTTAAGTTTGCTCTCAAGAGCCCTGATTTAACTTCTTGAAGATTAATAAAAGTACAGAGTATGTGATGAAAGTATGCATAAATATGCCCACAAGATCCAATGACGTTTTGGCCTTAATTATAATGAGCAGAAGAAAGGATATTACTTGCTCAGAAATTGCATATGGCCAGCATACACCTGGACTATGCTCTTGGTTGACTGGGGTGAGTTTATTTCTTTGCCTCTCAAGTATTGCACATACTCAAGGCTGCCATCTTTGATGCAGTCTTAAGGGTGTGAACCAAAGTGTCATCCTTGCTCAGTCTCCTCACTGGAACCCTTAGCCTCAGGGTGAAATGTCTGCTTTTCTACCCTTGATGAAGTTCTTTGCCACAGAAAAGTATCTTTAAGAAATTCAGCATCAACTCGACTTCTGTAAGTAGACCCTCAAACTCCACGTACCCTTATGATTTTGAACTAGATTTGCCTTAGACTTAAAGCTTTCAGTGATCATTTTGCTCAACTGAATTCAGATATTTTTGTAATTTTTATTTACATGTTTTCCTTTTTCAGGAAAAGCTGTGAGTCTCTGCAAATTAGACAATTGTGATGCAAACAGACAGAGCTAAATGTTCTTCTCCATTCTGTGCCTGCTAACCCATCTCTGTTATCAGTATTACCAGGTAGAGATCTGTAGTGGATATTTATTTATTTATTTAGGGTCAGAGGCTTACCGGGGAGTCTTTCCCACTTTTCATTAGCACTTTGGCTTTTGGGGGAGAAGCCACCTCTCCCCCATTGGGGCAATACTGGTGGAACAATAAATCAGGTACTCTAACCTCCCTTCAGCCAAGCAGCAGACACAAGACACAACCTAGGTCAATTGGACTCCGTTCACAGAAATATCATTCTTCAGAAGTGACAAAAACAGAAAACAAAATTTGTTGAGACACATTTATTTCAGTGTGGTGTCTCGGACAGAAGTTGGACCGTTTCTAAAATCTAGATATCAAAATTTGCCCTTATTTCTACTTTGACATCTGTCTAGGAGCACACACAGTAAATTTCAGCCATTAAATATACTTTTTGCTAAAGTGAGCCAGAGATGTTCCCTATTGCTTATAATCCAAGAACCTGAAGGTATTCACAGTTTAGTTGCTATTCATCTTAACACCATGGTTGAGGGTTTGTTTGCTTGCTTTAGCTTTGCAAAGTAGTTTGTATAGGTAAACAGAGGATGCCCATTCTCTTTAAGTTAATGTTGGAGCTTCTGTACTACCTAATCTATGTAAGTACTAGGATGGTGGGTAAACTCAAACTCACCTTAAAGTAGATAATAAGTGCACTAATTAGCACACTGATACTCTGAAATAGATCTCCAAGGGCATGCACAAAAGCAGCTCTGACGCTGGCATTGGCTTGCACTTCCTTGTGATTGTGGCCAAGGCGTCTCTGGTGCAAAACCACAGTTAGTCTGAAAGAGAGAACAATGTTCTTAGCACACATGAGATCAGTTTTCAAAATGTAGGCAGCATAATGGAGGAGCTGGCAATAACATGCATTATCCAAAATGATAGATAGTTGAAGTATTTATGCTTTAAAAAGATCTATCTTTGACTAATGTTTAAATACACGTGTCATAAAATTTTAATACTTTTATACAAAAACAAACCACAGAGACGCACCCAGTTTACTCATTCATCCACCTAATGTTTCTCTGTTTCACATTGAAACTGGAAAGCATCACTTCTTAGATGAAAATCAAGCATTTGACAATGAAGGGAGGAAATCTCCTTTATTGAAGGTTGACTGTCAGGCACCAAGCTGGCTTAAAGTCACGCTTCATTGGGAGCTTAATTAAAAGTACTGGTTTCACACGCAAAAAAAACACAGGAAGGGATAAATAAGGGAAAAATAAAATAAGTAGTGAATTTTATTGAGGCTTTATTTTACCTTTTATTTTACTTAATTTTGTGCATTTTCAAAAGAATTTGAAATTTGAATGATTTCTTAATGTCCAATGATGAGAATATTGTGCTCATGGATATAAAGCTCTTAATCCAGAAGTAGAAATATATTAATGTATTAAAAATGATCTGGTATGTGTACATATATATATACACAATATATTGCAAAGCTGAGCATCTCTTGTCTCAAAGTGATCAATAGCAAATACTACAAACTACGTGCATAATTCTGTTTATCTATACCTTTAAGTGGTATTAGACTAAATGTAAAATTAGAACATTTTCACTGACAGCTCAGTGTTTTGCCTTTCTGAACCTTTTCTAAACATTTTGGAACAAAGATTTAAAAACAGCAACATATTGTTCAACGTCATGTATCCCATTCTATTTTCAGGTAAAGTGTCTGTTAAAACTCAGGTCATCACCACAAAGTGGAATGACCACTAGGCATCAAGATCTGATCCCTACAGAATATACAGTTTTCAGATGTTCAGTGTTTGGGTAGAAATTCACTCTCAACTAGGAGTTACCATTTAAGGTCCCTTAGACAGCCTGATATGGCTGACAGATCATAGACCCTCATCTGATCTGCCATGTGTGTTCATCACATTGTCATTCATTCTTTTACTCATCTTATTGACAAAAAGAGACAGGAAAAAAACATATGTAGTCACTCATATGCAGACACTTGTAAAATCCTGGGCCATAAAGGTGAGTGAAAACAGATGTGGTCATTCCCCAGTGTAGCTTTGAATGTACTGGAGAAGGTAAAGTTTAAGCACCCCCCTCCCCCCCACACACACACAAGTGGAAAATTCTAATTACAGTAAGTCCACCAAGAACTGGTACTATGGGTAATACAACAGAGGAGCCTGATTTAGTTAGAAAGACGTTGCAGCTGAGTTGAACTCAAAAGCTTAAGCTAGAGTTAAATATGCTGAGGGAAGGAAATGTTTCAGGCAGTGAAAACTTAGCAGGCAATAGCCTTCAGGCTCTATTTATAACCTTCATCCTAGAATCTCTTCACAACTTCTATTGGAACTTTCTGTCCTGATTTTGAGTCCCCAAGGAATAGATTTATTCCTGAATCGCAGTTCTGATATCTTTATATTCAAACAATACAGCATCTAGCAGCATTTGAAACCTGTAATCCCAGTTTTTGGAGAAAATATTATAGTCACTCAGCATTTTTATCCATCAATAACTATCTACTCGCACAAAGAAGGCAGAGATTTCCAACTGCCTTGACTTTCTGAGCGTAAAAAGCACCTGCAATGTGAAGGTCAATGTTCAAAAGCAGTTACAAGAGAAAGAAAATTTGGATGATATCTGTTTAGAAAATCAAACCTGATCATTGAGGCCCCAGATTGATGTGATAGTTGGGTAGGTTTGTAGCCTTCATCTTTGTGTAGCATCAAGACAGCCTACGTGACATATGACTCTCAGGAAGTTAATACTTGTATTCTTCCTTCTGCCTCAAGACCATATTGTTCTCCTTATGCAAAGCAGACATTATTGACCTGTAGTCAGCAATATGTGTGCTCTGGCATATTTGTCTCCTAGGGGTGATAGATTTACATTGATCGACTCACACTTTTTCTCCCAGTGCCAATGTGAAACACATTTTCAAGTTAACTGGCTGAAGATGAGGATCTAGTCACTGACAGCAGATCAAACACCATTCTTCTAATTATTTAGCTCAGAGATTTTGAGCAATGGCTCACAAACTGAGAGCTGGGTAAGTGAGATGTCAAGAGGCAAGGCTATTAGAATGAACTGAGGACCTTTTTCAAAGTGTACGTGCTCAGCTATTCTTGAATTCCAGAGATGCTATTGTGCCCCCTCTTAAAATCCACTGTTTAAAACTTCATTTTTCGATCACTGTCTTCTCTACTTTCATGTGAAAATCTACCTCAGAGCATATATCAAGTTGCATTGCAAGATAGATAGGCAGATAATAAATAGGCTGAGTTTCCTATTGCTTCTGTAATAAATTACCATAATGTTTTAGCAGCTTAAAACAACACAAACTTATAGTTCTGGAGGTCAGAAGTCTACAGTGGGTCTCTAGGACTGCATCTTTTCTAGAGGTTCTAGAAGGGAATTCATGTTCTTGTCTTTTCCAGCTTCTAGAGGTCACCTGGCTCCAGGCTGCGTTCTCCATTTTCAACATCAGATATACAGCATCTTCTCTCCTCTCTGATCTCCTGTCTCCTTCTTATAAGGATGCTTGTCATTATGTGGGCTCACCTGGATAATCCAGGATAATCCCCTATCTTAATATCCTTCATCACATTTGCACAGTTCCTTTTGCCATATGATTTAACATATTCAGAAGTTCCAGGGGTTAGGATGTTTAAATCTTTTTAGGGGAGTGGGTCATTATTCTGTCCACCAACATGATAGCTAGCTAGATCACTAGACAGAGAGATGGGTGGATGGAGTTTTAAGTAGAGTTGCCCAGAATTAGATCCTCAAATGGGAAGGAGAAATTTGACTCAAAAAGATCAAAGTCCTGACCTCAAAACCCCATTGCCTGAGCAATCCAGTAGTTCATTTTAGGAAAGGGAGACTCACTTGTCAAGGGACATATGCTCAACTCCTGTAAAATGATTTAAGACTGCCTAGATAAAAGAATGGACCAGCAGGTTGAAACCAAAGGGAGAATTTAACTAACATAGCACAAGGAAGAATTTTCACGCAGTCACAATGCTGCAAAGATAATAGAGGCTGTTTTTGAGGGAAATAAATTTCCTTTTATGAGTTCTGTTAAAATATATGAAACTAATGACCATTTTATGGAAATGTTGCAAAAGAGAATGCAAAAGTAAAATGGGGACTGAAGTAAATACATTTTAGAGTCACTTCCAACGCAACCCACGGGGAGGCCATCATCTGCTCACCTCACAGAAATGGAACAGTAGTAAGTTACACCCCATGTGGAACCACTGACATGCCTGAGAATGTAAAGGAGCTCAATTTCTGGGTCTGTGAATCTGGATTAAAATCCTGGCTCTGTACTACTTAACCTCACTGGGCGTCAGTTTCCTGATCTGTAACATAGGAGTGTTGTGAACATTAAAGTTGGTAATGTATATCCAAACATCCTAACCCTGCCTCTGGCACACCAGAAGCTTTCGAAACATGGTAGCTAGTAGAAGCCAGTATTAAAAAACACTTTAGCTTAAACAAAAGCAGTTAACCTTGTTTTCAATCTTAAAGCCATTCAAACACTCGGTCTGGCCTCTATCATCTTCACAAGTACTGAGTTTTTAAAAAGTCTTTGTCCAGATAAAGTTACAGGAGAGCCTCATGGGCACTGTGCGGGGACCAGGGGATGACTTACATAATGTTGGCTGCCACTGCGCAGCTGGAAACGATGATCATCACAGTCGCCTGGATCTGGTAATCGGGATACAGCAGGCGCTCACACGCCAGGTACACCAGCACGCCAGTCACCACCCAGATGCACAGGATGGAGAGCAGGGCACCAAGGATCTCTAGGAATTCAAACACATGCAGAAACCCACACACAGATAACTCCATCACCTACACCCCCAAAACTCGTAAGACTCTTTGCTGCTTCCCCCCAAAAGAGGCTTCACACTAGTTCACTCAGTGATTCACAAAGTAAAAGTCTGGACAGATTTTAAAACTAAGAGAAGGAATTTTAATGTTGCATTCATAAAACACCAGCATCTGAGTCATTATGCTCCATGTTACTAAGTAATTTCCAGCAAATTTTTAGAACATATTAACTGCTGCCTACCCCCCCTAGCCTCCGCCCACCCCACCACCCCGCCGCCGTTTTCCTTGGGGATCTTAATTTAAACAGGTGCTAAAATGATTGAAACTTATTAGGAGGTAAAATAATGAGACACAGAGAGTAAAATGTGTTTAGAAACTCTTAATTTCGCCATAAAACATTTACGACCTGACAGTGCCAGCACCTTCAATGGAATAAAATAGTGAAAAGGGAAAGCTTCAGAGAGTACTTGAAGAAAATGAGTTTTATTTGCCAGTGCAACATATTATAAACACAGAGGTGAGCTCAGAGGCTTGCTAACACTCTGACTGCATTTTAAGAGCAACAGTAAGGAAAAGAAGCATCAGAATAGAAGTGTTTACATCAATATGTAGAGATAAAATGGTGTTCAATCTGCCCACTGAGGAAAGTGCATTTGCTCACTTAGGAGTTAACACTTCATTCTGACCTTTAATTCAAACCCACAGATAGATTCTAAAAACCCAGAAGGGTCTAGAAACATTCTTTGAGTCACTGGTCAGGTACAATCCATCATTTAGTCCTTCCCCACTTTAAGCTAATCCCAGAGATTAGTTCCTTTTAAAGCAGAGCAATGTAATATATTCTTACCCAGTGTGTGGCAATAATTTCCCAGACTTTAGTCATTTACAGACAACCTTCATAACGTTTTCTAAATCCACATGCTACCTGCCTTATTAACCACTCAATATTTTTTTCAAATAAATTCCCTTTTTACACTTAGCTTCTTCCTAAACAATGTTATCCATGAAACTACATATTTGATGTGCTAGTTTATTTTGTAATGGGCATCAGGATGTGTAATTATTGTCCATGTGACACTTAAAATTATCTGACCAACTGTGGAACATTTTCTCACACTATGGGAAATGCTGATGCAGATGTTTAAGGCATGAGCTCAAGTGTCAGATGTATATGGACTGGCTGTGTGACTTTAGGCAAGTCGCTTAACCTATTTGAGCCTGAATGTTCTTATCTATATGTATTATAATAATAGAATATATGTAGAATATAATAATAGAATAATAGAATATACATAGATTACGGGTTAAATTATGTTCCCCCCAAATTTATATGTTAAAGTACTAATCTTTGGCCGGGTGCGGCGGCTCATGTCTGTAATCCCAGCACTTTGTGAAGCCGAGGCAGGCAGATTGCCTGAGGTCAGTAGTTCAAGACCAGTCTGGCCAACATGTTGAAACCCCATCTCTACTAAAGATGATCAAAAAAAAAAAAAAATTGCTGGGCGGGTGGGTGTGCACCTGTAATCCCAGCTACTCAGGAGGCTGAGGCAGGGTATTGCTTGAACCAGGGAGGTGGAGGTTGCAATGAGCCGAGATTGTGCCACTGTCACTCCAGCCTGGGCAAGAGAGCAAGACTCTGTCTAAAAAAAAAAAAAAAAAAAAAAAGTACTAATCTTCAATTCCTCAGATTTGACCTTATTTGGAAATAGGGTAATTGCAGATGAAGTTAGTTAAGATGAAATCATACTGGAGTAGGTGGTTTCCAATATGGCTGGTGGCCTTACTTAAGTGGAAACCTGGACACAGACATGCAAATGGGGAAAATGCCATGTAAAGATGAAAGCAGAGCTCTATGAGCAAGGAATGACAGACAGTTTCTGACAAAGTTTGCCAGAAAACCACCAGAAGCTAAGAGAGGCCTGAAACTGATTTCCCCTCACAGACGCTCAGAAGGAACCAAACCCACTGACACCCGATTGCAGACTTCTGTTTTTCATAACTGTGAGGCAATAAATGTCAGTTGTTGAAAACAGAAATGTATTTAAAACCGAGTAATGTATTATTACCCAGTGTGTGGCAATTATTTCCCAGACTTCAGTCCATTCATAGACAACCTTCATAATTTGTTATGAAAATTAATAATGTACCCCCCCAAAAAAATGTACCCAATTTGTAGTACATTATTAAGGCAGCCATAGGAACCTAATATAACATATAGCAAACACTCAAGAATCTGTTATTTTATTAGTCTACTCAGGCTACTTACAACTCCCCTTTGCAGAAGTTTATGAGGACCAGGCCCAAAAATTTCTGGTTTGCTGGAAATGGAAGTTGAGTCTGTGGATGTCAGGAAGTGTGTTTCCTACCCGTGAAAATCCAAATCAGGGTATGAAAGTGGAGCGTGTCTAACTCAAAACCCATGGTTAGGAAGCACAGTGGGAAAAGAGCTGCAGGTGTAAAGCTCAAAACCAAGAGCAAGAGTCAGGAGTCAGATCTCAAGACAAAACAAAGAGTCAGAAATCCAAAAGTAACTAGTTAGAACGGGAGACACATGAGGATCATTGGTAAATGCTACTATGATTGCTTAAAAAAAAAATAGCTTAGCTGGGCTCACTGGGTTGACCAGATGATGGGTGTGTTGGGTATGAATGTGTTGGACTCACCTCTATGTCTATAGAGGTGCTGTTTAATATGGTAGCCACCAATCATGCATGGCTGTTTAAAATGAAATTAAGTAAATTTCAAAATCTGGTTCTTCAGTAGCACCAGCCGCATTTAAAGTGTTCAATAGCTACATCATAGTGTATATTACAGAATATTGCCCTCGCAGCAGAGAGTTCTATGAACAGCTCAGGGTCTTCCATGGTCACGATGCCAAAGTACAAGCAGAGATCTAAATTCTGAGTTCACCCTACATTTTCAAACCCTCTTAGGTTTACAAAACTGCTTTGACAAATGGTATCAGAAAGGGTCAAGTACATGTAAAACTTTACACCGACAAATAATGGGTGCTTAGCCAGAGGTCCATGTTTTCCAAGTGTAGTGCTGTTCAAGCACCGGCAAAAGCATTCTCAGATCACATTGTCACGAACTCTCTTTACTGCTGTTTATTGCCTCATCTCCTGGATGTTAAAGGGAAGCAAGTCAAAACACCTGTGATGATCAATGGTTTAGTATGAAATTAGGACTTCCTGCCATTCTAAACTTGAAAAACTGCAGTCCACAAGTGTCAGTCTACAAGCTGTGACACGTGTCTAGCAGCGCTTTCAGTGAAGGCTGGCCACCCTTGCTCAGCTCTCCGATTTCCTCTACATTGAGGTTCTCAACCAGTGTGAAAATGTGGAATTGTGGCTATTTGTTCACATGATTTGCACAAAATACTCAGTCAGAAGCTCCTCCAGCTGATATAAGGAATAACATAGAGGAGTATTGAAGTTGCAGAGTATGGGGTTGTGGGGGCGGGTAAGGGAGGGATTGTAAAAATGAGTCAAAGTAAAAACCCTCATCAAGACCTAGGTGATGGGTTAGTTACTCAGTGAAGGAACCAGCTGCAAGAAAGGAGAAAAAGTAAACTTTCATCCTCTCCTCTTCCTTCTCCTCCTCCTTTTTTGCATTATTGTTGATTGACTGAACAAGCTATTCAGCTGAACCATTCACTGAAGGGCTAAATGCTGTGTGTGAGCAGGAAAGCCTGTATTCTATTCCTGAATCCTCTATAAGAAGTTCTTCAATCTCTGTAACTCTCTTGGGTGCTCCGTGCCTCCTTTTGCAATAGGGCAGAAGCTTTACTCCTATCCTCTCTTCCAGGGATGCAGAGTAATTTAATGAATTGTATTATGTCTATCACCAGGCACAGAGTCCCTGAGGCTGGGGCGGTTGCTGAAGTGATACACGTGTTCCTCTTGTCCCAGAGGACTAGAGATAGCACCATTAATCTGTCTGTTATCTGAATTAATATTGAAAACACATATTCCCACATAGACGTTTGTTTTATCCCGTGCATCAGAAACGTGTCTCTAAGGATTTTCCAACAAGGCTTTGCTTTGTAGCTTCCATTTTTACCCTTGGTTTGACTTTGCAGCACCAGCCTGCTGTTATTGCTCACTCTATGAACTGTACCTGCTCGGTGCCATCCAAACGTCAGCCGCTTAGAGGGAGGCTTCGATGACAACCACAGGGAGAAGAAACTGAGCAGGAAACTGGTCAGGTCAATTAAGAGGTGGGCAGCATCTGTGACGACAGCAAGACTCCCAGCGAAGTGCCCACCTAGAGAATGCAAAATAGTACACTGTGTTAAGGCCCCAGAATGCAGCTAGATTCATAGACATGCTAACTATCATGGGTGAAAATGCCGCAGACTCACAAAACTTTAGAGGAGAAAGAGATCTTAAAGTTGATTTAATTCACTCCTTCTGCAACTCAGAGAGTGGATATGATTTGAACACGTAGAAATCAATTTCAAAGGAGAAGCCATTCCTTGGGTAGCAAAGACATAGAGATTAGAAACTGTGGGGCAGGCACATCTGGAGAACACCTTAGTTAGACCGGGGTAAGAGGATTCAAAAGAGAAAAATACAAGAGGATCAGGCTGAAGCAGTGTGGGCCAGATTCAAAGAGTCTCATAACCCAAACTGAGGACATGGACTTTTGTTTATAAACTAGATGTTGCGATCTGGCCCACAGATGTGTTTTTATTTGACTTATAATTTAATCATCATCTTTACCCTTTCCTTTTTCTCTATTAATTCATATTATCCACCTGAGCTTGAAATCCCTGTAATAAATAATAGGGAGCAGAAAGGAGAAAGGGCAGGTACCTTCCAATGGGCATCTTGAGTGCTACAATCCAATAAAGCACAGGGATGCAATGTAAGCCATGAGAGTCCTGCCTGGCTTTTCCCTTTATTTGATGTGCTCCCTCTACTTCCCTCTAATCCTCCTTTGAGAAAAGACCTCCAGCCTTCAAAATAGAAGTTAAAGAAAAACCTTGCCCTTTCCTTCCCAGACACGGTTTGTTGTTTGAGAGCAATAACCTTTATTGCTCTTACTACATCTTCTCAGCAAAGGGCTTTTGCTGACTGATTAGTTCTCCCTACAGCTGTTTATTGCCTTGTGTACTACAAAATAGCAGAGACTGTCAGCCATCAGCCTTGCCATCATCAGACTCACCTTGTCTCGCCTAATGATTTTTAAAAATTACATAGATAGCTCATAATTGCAATAATCCCCACAGGCCATTGGCTCTATCTGTAGTTAATAACTGGTTTGTCAAGGTTTAATGGGCTGAAGCAAAGTAATCTTCGAGCCTGTTACCGAACAGTCAGTGCAAAAATCAGAATGATTCATTAGCCGAAAAGCAACATTTTGCTAACAAATCAGCTGTCCTTCCAATTATCCTCTAATGTTGCTCTATCTGCCAAACTTGGTCCTGATGATAAAACTGTGTTAATAAGGCATTATTTCTTGCCCGGAGAATAACTCCATGCAGATAAGCAGTATGCTGCAATCACAGCAATGAGTGATGATGATTCTACGTGCTGGGTTGAAATATAGTCTAAATCAAGGAAATGAAGTCAGTCTTATAAAGTCTCTTCAACAGTCTCAGCTGAGGCAGGAAGCACCTGAGAAAGAAAAAGGGCTTGCTTTGGAAGAAATCATGTTACTATGGAGGCTTGGAAACAGAACCATTTTGCAACCTTCAGAGCTACTTATAGGAACCATCCAGAAAACTGTAGGCAATCGCTGACACATAGAGCAAACTGCTTGCAAGAGGTAATTTGTGACTGATCTTGCATTTGCTTCTGAAAGCATGGAGTATTATTGACAATTAATTCAATTATCCAGCCAATATTTATTGAGCCCTTACTGTGCATGGTACCAGGGATTGGGAATACAAAGATAAACAAATCATAGCCTCTCCTCAGTGATCTCCTTGTTTAACACTCACTGTACCAGAGACAAGTTAATGGGCTAAGGGATCGGAGAGCTGCTCTTACTGGGAGGAGTGAGGAACTTTTCACAAAGAAAGGGGTAAGAATTAGCAAAAACAGAAGGGGTTTTCGGGAAGAGATAAAACCACAGGCTAAAATAGAGTGAAAGAACATAGCACTTTTCGGGGAAAGCAGAAGGTATGGAGTGTTGGAGGAAAAATGGGAAATGAGCCTGGGAAAGCACATTGGAAATGCCTGTGTGGGGTATTATATGTCAAGCCAAGGGGTTTGAATGTGATTCTATGGCTAAGGGGATCTACTTATTACTTTGAGGCAAGGTTGTGGTATGTTGAGATCTGTTTTTAAGAGAGACGTCTTAGCCAGCAATATGGAGGATGACTTTGGAGAGAGGAGGAGCTAGAGGTTAAGACTCGACAGTGTTAGCCAAGGGAAATTATGATAAAGGCATGAACTGGGGCAGCAGCAGTCGTATTTCTGGAATACTTGACAAGATGTGGAGAGCAGTACACTTATACCAAGATAAGAGACACACAGAAAAGACTCAGACCTGGAAGACTTTACTTAAGGCCTGTGGGGTGAAGGTGACAGCAATAGAGCAGAGGAACCATGGGGCCTGGGTCTCACAAACTACCTCCGATTAAGATGGTGTTAATTCCCCATGTGGGTTTCCATGGAGAACAGAGACTTACTGACAGCAATGAAAGAAGTAAATGTTTATCTGACAACATTAGTCATGTGTCCCATTGCTGGGCTTACACCGTTGTGTGCTATTAATTAATTTTTAAAAATTCTTTAATTATTTTGTGAATAGTATTATGATACTATACCATATGTTGTGTCAAAACCCCATTGAGTTGTTATTTAACAAATACAACAGGTCCTCAAATAACATCAGTTCATTCAACATCCTTTGTTTATAACGTCGATAAGAAAATAAAATGGATTCCTGACCAGGGCCGCTGTCTGTGTGGAGTTCGCATGTTCTCCCCATGTCTGCGTGGGTTTTCTCTGAGTATTAGGGTTTCTTCCCACATTCCAAAACTGTGCACGTGAGGTTCACTGGCACATCTACATCGTCCTGGTCCTGGTGGGAGTGAGTGTGGGTGTGACTGTGCCCTGTAATGGGAGGCATCCTGTTCAGGGCTGTTTCCCACCTTGAGCCCTGAGCTGTGAAAAACTCCAGCTATGAAACTGGAATAAGAAGGCTGAAAAAAGAATGAATGAAAACAAATGATTGTAAAATAAATATGTGTAAGGTAGATGATCATCATACAGATGCCCAACAAAAAAGGGTATGAAAGTGCTCGCAAACCCAGCTCATTTTTCTCTTATTTGGGTTTGACTGTGTGGTGTAGGAGGCACTCCTGACAATGTTTCCCTTTGCTAAACATTCTATCCCTCTGATGTACCACCACCAATTATTGACTGACCCTCACTCACTGAGTCTCCACGCCAAAATTGCATATTACTCTCTTGTGTTTATCATCTGTTCTTAGATGGTACTGGTATACGCTCACATTTATCTTCGTGCTTTAAATATTCTGACCGTGTTTTTGGCCTTAATTCACAGAATTTCTGCTGTGTGTTCTCTGCTGCACCACACGTAATCCG